TAAGAACATTCTCTCTTTTCTTCATCTTACCCCTGACAAGTATTGTTGAAAAATTCTTTTCAGTTTCCAGGATAGAATTTAAACAAATGCACATGATTGACTGTTACTGCTAAAAACACTGAAGATTTTCATCAAACTGTTGTCAACACCATAAAAGCCTCCTTCTAGAAGGCCAATCAGCACCTTCTTACCGCAGCCCCGCAGAGCACACATTTCAAAGGGGACCCTACATTTCAAAGCCACCAAGGAGTCATGGATACTGTGTCTGCCCTTCTTCCCCAGGAGAGGGAAAAAAATCCCACACTAGGAATGTTTCCACTTTAGGTTGTTTTTGTAGCTACGCTCTAATGTCACTGAAACATATCCAAAGATCATCGAACATGGAAGAACTTCCTTGAAAGCCTCCCACAAGAGAATTGCATTTTATAGAAATAACTGTACCTATATATATGTATATGTGTGGTCCCAGTTTTTTAAATGTTAGTTGGGCTATTTCATTTCTTCAGCAAGTATTTGTAAAGTGTTTATTTTAAGAGCTAGAGATATAGCAAAAGAGTTAGTATCTCTGCATCAACAATTCAATACAGTATAGAGATGCGAGGGAGGGAAAAAAAAGTAGAGTAGGTAAAGGGACAGCCAGTGAGACAAGGATGCTATGTTATCTGTGGTGGGTAGAGAGGTCTCCCTGATAAAGAGTGATCTGAGCAGAAACATTAGAAAAATGGCGCTGAGCAAGCAAACATATAGGGTGAGGAGAATGTTTGGGGCACTTTAAACAGTAAGTGCAAAGGCCCTGGGGGGAGCTTTCCTGGAAAGGTTGAGTAAAGCAAGGGGAGTGAATGGGTGTACTGGGAATGGCAGGAAATGAGTTCAGCGCAGTCGCCAGACTCCAAGATTAGACACAAGTCTGGTGTGGAAGAGTGAGGATTTGGGTTACACTCAGACTTCAATGGTAGAAGGGTGACGTGATCTGATTTCGGTTTCAAGAAAACCACTTCAGCTGCCAGGTAGAAAACAGACCAGGGAAGGGGGTGGAACGGGTACGGAGTGACCAGGATAAAAGCAGGGACACAAGAGCAGGCGATTGTGACTGTCCAAATGGGAGGTGGCAGAAGCTGATGCGAGACCGGCAGCGGTGACAGTGGTATGAGCAGTCAAGATGCTGGACATTTGTGTCCTGGTAGAGCTGACAAGATGTCCTAATGGATCGGATATGGATGGGAGTGAAAGACAAGAGCTGAGGATGACTCCAGAGGGTTGGATGTCAGCACCTGGGAAGCTGCAGCTGCCACTTGGTGAACAGGGAAGCCTAGAAAAGGAGAAGATTTCTGGAAAGAAAGTGGGGAGTGGAAAAGTAGTCTTAAATTTACTTGGTTTAATCTGTCACTAATTGTTTGATACAAGGTGCCAATTGGTAAACAGTGCTTTCCTTCACTTAAATAAAATTAGCACATTCCCATGTACCCTAAAATCTTTTCACATTAGCATAGATACTTTGTGGATACACCCTTACGTGTGATTATGTTACCAAATGTCTGGGTTCACCTCTACTTCTGCTTTGTACTTCAATATTTATTTTGTAAAATAGGGTACGTCCCTAAAGATAGATCATCTTGGCCTCAAAATAGGTGCTTGTGAATGACCGAAATTTATAAATGACTCCAAAGAATCGACTTTTTCTTACAAAGCATTATTTGAGTCCCTGAGCCATTTCTGCCTGCCGAAAATCCCCCCCCCCCCATCAGCTTCCACGGGGTCTAAAATTTCCCCATTTAAAAAAATTATTTTTAATTACTCCCTCTTCATCACGTGTTACTGATATTCTAGCATACATGTGAGAATATTTATCTCTACCTTATTCCAGTGAAGATATTTTCTCATTCTGTTTGGCTTAGGATGGGGTCCTTTTGCTCAAAATAATCAGAAAAAAAGGAATGTAGGTTTGAGAAGAGGAAGATGATAAAGTAACAGCAGACGCTCAGTGGAGGCGTCAAGGAGGCAGTTAGGGTTCAGAGAAGGCTGCAATGAACATGGACGTGGAAGTCATCAGCTGAGTCAATGACCAGGGTTTTGTAGCCTTGGAGGGGAGAACGCAATGAGGCAGTGGTCCCGGCACAGTGTGCTGGCATAGGAAGAGCAGAGGCCTCCCTAGGAGAGGTCTCCTATTCTTCATCTCTACACAGAATCATCCAAGACCTAATCACAGACTTGGATGACGACTTGCAAACTGATCTCCAGTGCAGCCCTCTGTACCCTCATTGCCTACTTGATGCCTCCATGGGAATGTCTCTGTGACACGCCATGGCTGTGCCCTGTCCTAGGCAACTTCTATCAGCATTCACACCCGAGTGCAAACATCCCTTCCCTGCTGTAGGCTCCCCTGACACCGAGGAGGACTACCCAGATTGCTCTGTTATTGCAGCTCCCATTCTGTGCTCTCACAGCGCTGACCCTGTTCATGACCACGTGTGAGTCTGTGTCAGCCTGTGCTATCTGTGTCAGTCTCTGCTAAATACCACCATGGTCCCCCGCAAGATTCTACACCCCTTCCAAAGGATGCATGTCTCCTTTGCTCACTGCTGTGTGTACTGCCAGATCCAAGCTCTCAGCTGGTCCACAAAGAGCACTGAATAAACATTTGTAGCTCAAGTGGCTAAGGCACCAGTCACATACACCTAAGGTGGCAGTTCAAATCCAGCCCGGGCCCACCAAACAACAGTGACGGCTGCAACCAAAAAAAAAATAGCCAGGCATTGTGGCGGGTGCCTGTGGTCCCAGCTACTTGAGAGGCTGAGGCAGGAGACTCACTTGAGCCCAGGAGTTGGAGGTTTCTGTGAGCTGTGATGCTACAGCACTCTACCCAGGAGGATAGCTTGAGGCTCTGTTTCAAAAAATAAAAATAAAAATAAATAAATAAATAAACATTTGGTGAATAAATGAACGGACACCATGAATAACGGGTCATTCATAAGGCAGGGCCTCTGTGGCACCCTGCATGTGGGAGAGACATCAACTACAATACGCTCCACTGAATAATGTTGGATAAGCTTGATCAAAATTAGTTCTGGTATTTGCTTTGCGTTTTACTCATGTCATCAAGAACCAACATTATTTTGTATGTCCAGAAATCAGAAACCCCAGGACCAAAAAAGAAAAAATTAGGAAGTTACCAAACCCACATCTCCTCACGTATATGTTATCTACAATAAAACAAAACTAGTTTATAATGATTTCATTAGACTTATAGAGAAAGGAGATGCTTTAAAACTTTCTACTGAGCTAAGGCTAGTCTGGATTTATAATTCAAGATGCATGGGATAGAACTGATTTCATTCTCATTAGTGTTTTTTTATAAAGAATTTTTTTAAAAACCCAACGAAACAATTACAAAAGCTTTCCTAGTTTCATCATCGCCTTAGTCACACATTACTTTTTTAGACAAAGGTGTTAAGTTGCTCAGTCTCATAATTTCCTGCCTTCAAGATTTCAGCAATATGATGTTTGTGGCTGACCTTCTGTTCCCATATACTTCAGTCCTCCCCTCCTCCTCACGTCACTAAATGTAGCTACACACCACTTTAGACTTAACCTTTTGTAACAGCTTTATAAGCAGGATTAGTTTAACATCCTGAAGAAATTCACTCAAAATGCTAGACCTAATCCATCAATCTAGATACAGAAACCAGAAAAAAGTACAGGAAAAGGGCTGGATATAAAATAGAAAATTACTTGGGGAGAGGGGAGGAGGGAGGAAAATGAGGGGGGTCATGGTGTAGCACACCTCGGCAGAGGGCGGCGGAGGGGGATACAACTATAGTAGGGACTTTACCTAACAAATGCAATCTGTGTAACCTAATTCTTTGTACCCTCAATGACTCCCAAACAATTAAAAAAAATAAAATGTTCTTAGAAGACTGTTATGCATGGTAGCAAAGACCAAAAAAAAACCAGAAGATTATTAACAATCAACTATATTTTCCATTAAAAAAAAATCTTCTCTTGTCCCAAGTATTAAACCTAATATCTTTTTGGCATTATTCAACTCTACAAATTATATCAACATTTAAACACACACAAACTCACTGCAACCTCTTAGCCACTCTAATATTACTATACGATCGATTCCTTTTTCCTTAATGGAAATTAGATATAAACTATGCAGAACTCAAGTTTCCACTATGACTGTGTTGTATCACATACTTAGGTCACTATGAAAGTTTCGAGACAGACTGTGTTATGGTCTGTTATTTCACGGCCAAGAAACACAGTCCATAGCATCCCCTTCTAATTCACCCATGCAGGTTTCAACTTGCTCAGCTTATCGGCGTTGCTGGAAGCCTTACTTTCTCTCCATGTGGATTTTATGTTTCTTTCTATTTTTTTTTTTTTTTTACTGAGGGACAGTCTTACTTTCTTGCCCCCAGTAGAGTTCTGTGGCATCATAGCTCACAGCAACCTCAAATTCCTAAGTTCAAGCGATCCTCTTACCTCAGCCTCCCAAGTAGCTGGGACTACAGGCACCTGCCACAACACCTGGCTATTTTTAGAGATGAGGTCTCACTCTTGCTCAGGCTGGTCTTGAACCTGTGAACACAGGCAGTCCACCCACCTCGGCTCCCAGAGTGCTGGGATTACAGGCGTGAGCCACCATGCCCAGCCTGATGTTATGTTTGTTGATTTATGTGTATCTCAAAATATCTCTCAAATAAAGGCCCACGTGTAACCCCTGTAAAATAGATTCCCCTAGCAAATCCCTAGACCATTTTGCATTACAGATCCATTTGCAGTGGTAATAGCAAAGACAGGAAAAAAAACAACATGCAAAAATGCAAATTAGTAGGTTTTTCTTAAGGGACTATTAACTTTCTAAGCCTAATTTTAAATTCTGAAATACACACAGGCGAGATGTTTGTGCAAAGGTGAGGAAAATGTCAAAGGCACTCTCGTGACATATTTAAAAAAGGAATCAATTTTCTTTGTAAGTGGTTCCTGTTTGATACCTCCTTCATCGGACAGCCTGGTTACCTCACTGCAGCCTGAAAAACTGGGGTAAATCTCAGAGATCTCTGACTTGTCATCTCCCAGACCTGGCCCAAAAGTGCTGCTGGAGTGAGAGCGAGACCGGTGTCTCCAACAGTGACTCGCCTTTTCTGAAGTGGAGGGAAAATAATCATACTTGTGATTAAGTGACTCAAAAAACAAAAGAAACAGAAGATTACTTAAAATCTTAACAGGTAAGAAAAGCAACCTTTTAGTAAATAGTAGTCCCAAATCTCAGTCCTTCTAAGTTTCTAGTCACCTCTTCTCAAACTTCAGCATTCATTACATCAACGACATCAATGGCTTATAAGTCATTTATGCTCATTTTAATCTAGATTTAAAAGGAGCGATAAGCAATGGGAAATTGACAAGAACTAAGAAAAAAATAGTCAAACTAATAATTTTCTATTAAATATAATACCTGGCTATAAGTAATTCAAGTATCACCCAGTATGTAGAATCTGTTGCCTTTCCTTTATTTTTAGAAAATTATATGACATAGTTTGGCTTAATTATATGGATCACATTGACCATAAAAATACCAAATCCCTATTTTGTCTTAGGATTCGGTTTCATTTAACATCAACAATTAAATAGAGTAGAAATCAGAAAGCAGAGCAAGACCTAAATAATATATCTGTTTATATTATTTAAAATAACTGTGTACTGCCAAAAATATTCTGAAATGTGAAACCGAGCTATCACTATACCCAATCCATTTTTTGCTTTTAATTATAAACATTCAGCCAAAATTAGAAGTCAAATAACCTTCCCATATTCATTTTACATTATATAGAAATTCAGAGATCAATTCTAAGAATAATTTAAAGTTTATTTTCAGACATTTAAGATGCTTTACAAAAAACCTTTCTACTCTCCTATACAGGGTGGACATAAAGTTCATGTGCAATTTACCATGTTAAACTATTTTAAAATTGCACATGAACTTGGTGTCCATCCTCTATATAGTTCCTTTAAAAATCTACCTTTAAAATATTGTAAGAGCGTATTTCATGAAACAAATCTTTTTTGCCTCAGCAGTTTATTGCAATACAAATAATTGCATTCATAAACTCAGAAGGTCTATAAAATCTTATTTGCTAATAAAAAGATTTTTTAATGAATCCAGGGCAGACTAATCTAGGATCCATTAAAAAGCCCTTTTGCAAGTTTCATTTTCATAAATGATTTAATGATATTTTCAAGTAGCATGGCACTTCTTTGGTTTCTCAATTTCTCAACTTTAAAAGTACATTGCAAAGTCACCGTGATGAGCCTCTAGGGCTCAAAGCAGCTTCACTTTCAGTACAAAACCACAACAGGCAGGAACTCAAAATGTTAGCAGTACCGGAAAGCATACGCAGACTTCTAGACTGAATATTGTCTTCCAAGGGGTCAAAGTCGAAGATGGAGCCAGGATCTGTGCGCCAAACTTTGAGGTCTTTTTACCAAAAGGGAGAAATCAACATGTCAAGAAGGAATTAAAAAAAATAAAAAAGCCAGCACTAAAAAAGTCAAGCAACAGCCTTGAAAGGAATATACGTAAAAAGCATGTGTGTAATAAATGAACCCACTGTTTTACGGACTTCAGAGGCAATCAAAAAGACAACCGCTTTCACAAGTATCTATTATATAATTTATAATCAAATGGAACTCGCCTGACCTAGTCATTATAGAACTGCCCTGTCTGGCCTTGTTGAGGTATCTGAAACTCAGCAACCCCCACATGTACACAGGGAGCAACTATGTGGGGCCCCCAAGGCATCCTCTGAACCTCCAATCTCTCTGCTCTCCACATGTTCAAACAGGCAAATGTTTGATTAAAGTTCCTTACGAAGGACATGTGAGCAACTCAGACATGGGGGTAATTCCTAGGAAATGATTGAGAGGTTTCTGTTTAAAAAAAAAAAAGCAAAACAATCATAAAACTTCTCTCCCTATAACAGAAACAGATACTTGAAAAGTAGGGAAGTGGCAAGTCCCAGTTTTCATCCTGAGTTTGTGAGGAGTACAAGCTAATAAACATGATGTATTTATTCGAAAAGTCTTGTAGGCACCCAGCAAAGGAGCAGCGAGGCATCATGGGAAGACAAGTAAGAGGAGCTTCCTGCTCCCGGTGGACCCCTGCGATGGTCAGTGATCAGACTGAGTTATCCTCCTCCTACTCTGCTTCAGGCAAAATCCACATCTCACAACTTCCAAGTTTATAGTTTTCTCTAACTAACTGATATTAGGTCCTAAAATAAGTTGCATAGTGCTGGACCAACATCTGGAGAATAAGAACCTAGCTATGAACATGTGGCAGAGATGGACCTGGATCAAAAACAATCATTTATAAAGTGGAAGCAGAGATTTGCTTGTCTGTTTTTAATTACTATTATGTAGTGTTCCCCACGTGTCAGGCGCTACTCTCATTTATAACCTAACTCATTGAAGCTTTGTACATATTAAGTCCGTACTATTATTATTTCCATTTTATAGATGAGAAAACTGAGGCACAGACGGATGGATTATCTTGGTCAAGTAGCAGAGCTTCCAACAAAGCAGAAACTGCACAATTTGGCTTCATCTGAATTACTCAGAAAATTTCTAAACTTATATTTCCAGGCCTGGTACAGAAGTTGGCCTATCAAAGTTTAATGTCTGTTGAATGTACTTTGTGTTTTAACAGGCAGGTCCTCAATGCAAAATAGTTTCTCTCAATAAGAAGAAAGGAAGTGGATTTTGGATGGCCTTGTAAGTAAATACTTTAGACTTATACCTCTTATATTTTTAAAAAATAATAATTTATATCTCAAAGTTTCTGTGTTTCAAATTCTGATAGCCCAAGGTCTAGGCAGTTTCCTGGATTTTAAGCAATGGCCTCACCATCACTCCCAACCCTGCTCTGTGACTGGGGGGTAGCTGCACAAATTTAGAAGCTCCGTTCTAAATGAGACAGATCAGACCCCTGCACTATCTTCTGAGACGTTAGTACGAAGCAATGAAACTCTCTAATTCAGTGTTACTTTTAATGAAAACATCACAACCCATCCATCCAACTTAATGTGACCCTTTTAAGTAATCAACTTGGGCAAGATCAACAAAGCTATGGATTGCCTACAAATTATGTTTGGAATCCTTCCATGGAAAATACTTTCAGAGTCACTTTAGTATAATTGCCAAGTCACTTAGTGCCCTGACTTTGGTAGCCTTGTTTTGTACTAAGATATTACCCTGTCAAATATATGCTTTCCCCTGCTAACTCACCTCTGAATGGACTGTCACAGATACTAGAAAACAAGCTCGTATTTTTAAAGATGAAGACAGTCTACCACGGAGATTACTGAGAGGCATATCCTACAGTGATCAAAAAAATTCTTTAAGCTACCTAATTAGACTACGTAATTCAGAGGCTAATTGCTCTGAAAGAGACAATGGCCTTGCCTTGTTGACATTTGTTGAAAAATCAATAACTTTCCTTCCTAGCCCTCCACTCCAGTATGATCTCTGCTGGTATCTTAGCCATCATTCAACAAATATCCTCCTAGCATTTCCCCCGACCAACTGTAAGAATGAGATAGCAGGGAGAGAAAGTTGCTCTCTTAATTATGAGACTTTCCGATGGCTCCCAGTTACCCCGATTCAAAAGTAATATTCAAGAAATATGAGCTATTGGCATTATGGGATACCATCCAAGTCTTCCTAGCACATCGACATTGTGATGAAAGGACCTAAATGGGATGTAGTTATTTCTGTCACTCAAGCACATGGTATCTACGGGATGACACACTGATTAAGAACACATGTTACCAGAAGACAAAATAATCATTCAACCTTTGGCATCCCCCATGTCTGGACTGCTTCTTTGTTCAACAACTAGGAACATTCTTTTTGAGACAGAATCTCACGCTGTTGCCACTCAAACTCTTGGGCTCCTCTTGCCTCAGTCTCCCAAGTAGCTGGGACTATAGGCACCATCGTAACACCTGACTAGTTTTTTCTATTTTTAGTAGAAACAGGGTCTCACTGTTGCTCAGGCTGGTCTTGAACTCATGACCTCAGGTGATCCACCTGCCTTGGCCTCCCAGAGGACTAGGATTACAGGTGTGAGCCCCCATGTCTGGCCAGGAACACTCTTAGGACCAAAAAGCTATTAAAGACAGAGAACATGCCATAATAGAGTCTGAGCTGATACCTGGTGAATCCCATTCCATAGGGCACCCAAATAACACTTTACCTGTGGTCCATTTTAAATCGGGCCACTGCATCAAACATGGGATGAGAAATCAGATGAATAAGGAGGCTAATTAAAGATAAAGCCGGCTCAGCGCCTGTGGCTCAAGAGGCTAAGGCGCCAGCCACGTACACCTAAGGTGGCGGGTTCGACCCCAGCCCGGGCCCGCCAAACAACAATGATGGCTGCAACCAAAAAATAGCCAGACATTGTGGTGGGTGCCTGTGGTCCCAGCTACTTGGGAGGTGGAGGCAGGAGACTTGCTTGAGCCCAGGAGTTGGAGGTTGCTGTGAGCTGTGATGCCATGGTACTCTACCCAGGGGGATAGCTTGAGGCTCCTGTCTCAAAAAAAAAAAAAAACCTAAAGCCAACACCATCTTTTGGACTGTGCACAGCCCTGGGGCAGGAGCGCCAGCTTACCAACAATGATGCCAGGTCTCCGGTCCATCTCCACGATGTGGGGATGGACACCTTTGTAGGCGGCGTCGCTGACGACCTGTGTGTTCTTTCTCACTCGCTCTGTCACAGGATCGTCCACCACAGGGGTGAAGCCCCTCCCCTTTGTCTTTTCAAAATCTTCGTGGTATTTTACCTGAAAAAGGAAAACCCAGATTAACTCACACTGAAATGTGCTGACTGTTTGGTATGCAGCTCACTTAACTGTGATAAAACGACAGTGTCACGGCCCTGACTGCATCTAGATTCTGTTCTTCACGTAGGTATCCTTCCAACTATTCCAAAAATAAGATCTGAAATGTCAGCTTCTTAGCATCAGAAATCAGGCACTGATACTTGTACAATTTTTTAAATCATCATGGTTAGCATCTCTTTTAAGTCATATGCAAAACTGTGTATCGATAAGATGTAAAAGATAGATATTTTTAAATCCTTACTTCCTAAAAGACACTAAAGTAATACCAGTACTACAAATTTAAATTTCAGTACTATCAGTAATACAAGTTTAATTTTCTATCCTTTCACCTTCAATAAACTGATATTTCCACATAATCATTCAAGAAAATGCTATGATTTAAAATTTTATCAAGAGAAATTACAGACAATTATGTAGGATTTTTGTGTATAATTACAGAAACATATACTTCAAAACATGCTTTTTTTGTTGTCTGAAATTGGGTCAGGGTTATGATCCTACAACTCTGCACATTATCCTAAAAACCACTGGATTGGATACTTTCAACAGGTAAACTTTACGGTAAATTATATCTCGTGAAACAGCTTTTAAAAACATACTTTTTTCATATTCTTTAAGACATGCAAACAGACCAAACTCCGTATTACGATTAATTGGAAAGAAGCTCAGACAAATGTCTTCCACACAATGCATTTATAGTAGTCACACTGGAAATAAAACACACCCAAAAAAGTCACTGAGAAAAATTATTTTATTAGACTATTTCTATTACATTTCGGTGTGATTAGAAAGCCCTCCCACCCCCAAAACATGAGGATGAGCCCACCACGTTTCCATGCTTTGTTAGTTATCTGGATTAACTGTGAACTGATGCCTCGGTGCACACAGGTCCTGATGGCCCTTAGTATGTTTTAGTCATGAGAAGGAGGATCTGCTTGTGCCCTACCATGGAAATATGATTTTGTGCTTCTTTAACGCATCTCAGGGCAGGTGTATCTAAAATCAGACTCGGTCTACCTTTCATCTGTTTATGGCTCTGGGTATATTTTACCTGCAAAGTAAATGGACACACTTATAATAAGATATTACCTAATAAAATAAATAATATAAATAATAAAAAATTACATAACAGTTTTAAGATTTACCAAAACAGTGAAACATAGCCAGCATGCTTAAAATTATTTCCCAGGTAACTTTTTTAATGAATTACATTTTGTTCTAGAAGGAGTGACCTACAATGTTACTCTCAACGATCTCCTTCAAAGGTGATTAACAAAAGACCCTAAATTGATCAACTAAAAACAAACTTGTGAGGGATCAATGGTCACCAGGAGGTAGTCAGTAAAACTGGTTATGAAATGTCAATTAAATGGAGAAAATTCCTTTTTCTTTCTTTTTTTTTTTAAATGGAGAAAATTCCAAAGTAAATAGAACTCCATTTATTTTGTTTCTAAACTTCCCTGTTTCCTGTCATAAGAGTATTAAAAAATGCATACCAGGCTACCTTCTATTTCATTTTTTCCATATTTAAAGAAGAAAAAATAATGAGGAACAAACGTAGTTTTTCTTCTAAGCAGCCAGAGCTTAAAGGTAATTTATGTTAAATATGTTCAGCGTCCCTGGAGAGATGTGCCACAAGAGAGCTGTAAATGGTGAAACCTAAATGCTAATGGTCTAGCTCACAATTCTTCATAAAGGAGTGCTAAGAACAGGATCTGTGTTCTTGACCATCAAAACAATGCCATTTGTAAACCTGATTATGTGTAAAGATCTGGATACCACTGGTGGACGACCAGGCTGTTAGTCATTCAGGTTAATAGTGAACTGATGCCATGGGCACACCGGACCCTGCTGTTTCTCTGTATATTTTAGCCATGAGAAGAAGGATCTGGTGGTACCCTACCATTGAAATATCATTTTGTGCTTCTGGTTCAATGCAATTCAGAACTGAAGCCCTGATATTCACTAACAGGAAGCTTACAAGGTCAGATAATTAAGTTCTCGATCTCAGACTAGAAAAAGTGCTTTGATGGGTCGACTAGGTCCCTGTGCCAGGGCATAGCTTCCCAAGGGGGAGGTATGAGGTATGTTAACACTTTTTCTAGAATGAGTTCATGAACTTAATTGTGTAGCCACCTACAATAACAGCTCTGGTGTCCATTCCATAAAATGAGCTCTAAAATTGCTTTGCAGGGTAGACTAAGCACTGGCATCCATGCACAGCTTCCCAAGGGGGTGACTTGAAAGGTGACTGCAGTGATATTCAGCAATGAGGTATGTAGCACTTCTTTGAGGATGAGTTTGCAAACTTAACTGTCTGACCTCGTACTGTCCAAATGAGACACCAAAATGCACTCTGGGACTTGAATGAGTAACTAAATTCCACATTAAATGTATTTAAGGATCTTTTTCCCTCTATAGCCTTACTTGGAAGCAATGACTAACTAACTTCCTATGTCGTTTTACAAAGAGCATTTAACAATCCACATTCAACGAAATACATTAGTAAAACAATAATTATCTAATTCATGCAGGAAAGACTTTACCACCTTCAGAGACACTGGCTGCAACAACAAGAATCACATCCGGAAAATACTGACCTAATCAAGGATGACATAAACTTACACGGTGGTAGGTTTTGAAAGTCATCTTAAATTACACATGGACTTACAGGAACGATCACAGATTATTTCTTGACAATAAATTTTATTTTCACAAGAAAACCCAGACTGCCGGCTGATAATAAAGGATACATCTTTGTGATTATCCAAAACGAGAGAAACGACTTGCCGAGCTAATATTTTCCTGATTCTTCTTTACTCTCTCCATTTCAGGAGTTACGCTTAAGGCAGTAGCTCTTCCTGGTTGGCCTTTATAATGAACCTAGCATTTCAGGAAACAAAAAAGTAGAGTACCGTGAATCAATCCAACTAATTAAAAGTCCATACTATTTATTTTAATGCATTAACCAAAGAAGGTAAACTACAAAGAAAAAGCAGATACTATCAGGGGTCAAGTCATATTAAAATGCTGGCATCCCTCTTAGCAAAGTATCTCAAGAATGGAAGAAAAAGTATCCAATGTACACAGCCCTATTTTGAAACTAATTCATAGCTTTTATAGGAATGTCATAAACCTCATTATAGCCTTAGAATATGGGAAGGGGGTGGGAGGGTGAGGTGAAGGGTGGATAGGAGAGGGGGGAAGATTGGTGGGGTCACCTCTATGGTTTATCTTACAAGGGTACAAGTGAATCTTTCTAAAAGCAGAGTATGAACGTT